TTGTTTTTGCATCTCACATTTGTCGGCAACGATAGTGAAGATTGTTAGGAAAGCAAACAAACAAATGAACAGAAGACAATAAAATGGGGGAAACTTTGAATTTTGCCATATGGTAGAAAAAACATCATTGAATACTTAAGAAGGGAAACTAAGCTAACTTCCTCTATTGCCCTTTATGTTTTTGATCAAATAAAATTTAATCAGTAGTGGGGTTTGCTGGCAACGTGTCAAATTACTAGAGTGGACTTGATTCTTCTCAGATGTCAGCTGATAAAAAAAGAAACTTAAAAATTGTCCATAGGAAAGATTACACTTCATCAAAAAAAAAATCACACTAAAGTGGTATTGTGATTATTTTTTTATAGTTAGAATAACAGAGGCAGTAAAAGTTAATTGGCTTTTGGATTCTACATTCAAACTGGGTGAGATTAAATTCATTCATATCATACTTCATTATAGTTTGTTTACATGGAAAGGTAATCACTATTATAGCTTCACAGATGTTTTTGTTGCCATCGCAATTACAGCAACATTCATAACAAAGTTTCATTTTTCATTTTAGAACTTTCTTCCTATTTCTGAAGCACGGTTAAAGAAAGCAGATTATTATAAATAAGAAAATTATAACTTTTGGTGTAGGTAATTATTTGAAATGTGAGTAACATTTGATGTTTTTAAATGTAACAGGATGATCTAACTGAAGATAGCTTTAGAAAGGAGCTTTCAATAGTGCACAGTGTTTCTTACCAATGCTCATACCCAAACTAAACACTGATATAAGGAATTGATCACAAGGTATGTGACCACGTAATACACAAAGCAAGAAAAGAAATGCCTTAGCTTTATAGCTTAAAAAGTAAAATAAGAGAGTTGTGTAGACAATATGTTAGTTTTTATCCTCCTCTAGATATTTACTCAAATAACATAGTCAATATCAGTCTCATTCACACTCACTGTCCACTTAGCTTGTGGAAAGATGTTCACCTTAGTAGCTCTTAGTATTTTTTGAATGAAGAAATGAAAGCCTGCCTTCTTATCTCAGTTGGTTCCTTTGTGCATAAGCAAACTTCACTCTCTTTAGTTTAAAAGTAAAGGAAGAGCCAGGGCTTTGGTTTGCCACCAATTCTTGATCATTATTTTCTTGTGAAACGGTGATTTTTCCCATTATCAGTGGAAACCTGGTTATTGTTTCAGGTAGGTTAGCATTATAAATTTGTTGTAACAATTTCCTGAACCTGTTGTCGTATGAATCTTTGACTCAATTTTACCCCACTAACGTCAACTGAATAAACAGAGACTTAAATTAATATGTTCTCCTTTTGAGGTGTGCATCAAAATTATGAAGTCATCACAGGCTTGAAGCATAGGTTTAAAATATAAGGAGAGCGACAACACTTTTAAGTCTGTAATCTTCAGTTCATTAATGCTCAAAGCGTTGGAAGTTGAATTATGAAGTTGGCAAATGCTAATTATGATAAATGGTGACAACAAAAAAAGAGGAAAAGCATGAAAGTGTGAGAATTAAAAGGATAGTTTTGGATTTGCATGGTGTAATTGTTGATTTAGGGATGGTTGTTCTCTTTAAATATGAATAACCTCTTTTATCTTGAGTTGAAAACCGGTAGAGGCGGGATCCAAAACATGGAAGCTATCTTCTGAACACAAAGCGCGACAATGTGCAGATTCTTACAGATGCTTGAAAAGGTGAGAGGCCCTGTCACTGATTAAGTGCTCTCTAACACGAGGGGAAAATTGTCGGCATATTTCACCGACGTAATAGGCATTACAGCCAGCACATACAAGCTTATAAACCACACGTAAATAGAGCCCGTCAGGGAAAGGATCTTTCACCAATCAAGTTGCTGATCTTGAAGGAAGAGAAAACTAGCTTAATATCCAAGTCATTGTAATAGCGATTGATAAAATGGCGAATCTTTTTTGAGTGAAAGCAGAAAAATGGCTTATGTAAGGTAGCTTAAAGCAAAACGTAGGTGAAGTGGTGGTAAGGAAATCCCGGGGATGAGGATTGCTTTGGTCCCAGTGGTGTAACGGTCTTTAATCTTTTCGATTAGGGAAGAGATTATTTTTTAAAAGGTAAGGTGATGTTGAAAGTCTCTTTACTAACATGCCTCTTGAGGAGTGTACTGACTTAGCGGTCAATTACATTTCCGAGGGCAATTCCAACATTAACATTACCCTCTATAGATATCCTGACTGACAACAATGACCCCAGTCCCTCTCTAATCAGTGTTTACAGCAAGAAAACTTTCACCGGGTTACTAACTACTTATTTCAGCTTCACCCCGTACCTTTTACAAATTGGGTTTCATTAAGACTCTCGTTGATAGAGTCTACAAGATTAACAACACCTGGTTAGGGTTTCACGAGGACATTAGCAAGCCTACAGGCAGGTGTTGTAAAACGTTTGCCTAGCTTTTCCATAAGCACACACTTCGTTCTCTATAAGAATTTTGTGTATCCAGCCTGTGCTGAATTCTAATTTTTCAACCAAATTTATATTCTTTTGAATATTCTTAGATCCCCTAGAATCGCTTACTATTCACGTAATTAAAATAATTACATGAAATCTTGCTGATGTATGGCACACTAGTTCTTCCTCTGATCCTCCTGAAATTTTATAATGTGTATTGGTATTGGCGATAAAAGTGTAGTCAAATTAAAGCTTTGTGCACAGTTTATGCATTAAATTTATGTGACAAAATATTGTATTTTTCCTAAAACTAGTTTATCTGAATTATAATGAGTTACCAGGCACAAGTATGGCTTTTCACGATGATAATTTCCAGGTTTGAAAAAAGCCACTGCTCACCAAAATCCTTAGTTCCTTTGCCTTTAAAGCCCAACTTCATCAAAACATTGGCAACAAGAGGGATCAGCAAATCAATGGCTTCAAAGAAAACTTGATTGATGTTTGGAATTGATTTCTGTGATGTACAAATGAAATCCAGGTATCATCTCGAGTTTTCTACATATTTTCATGGTCAACTTTCTATAACTTCGAATTTGCTGATAGCAAAATTGTTAATATCTCCAAAGAAAATAAAGCTATAAAATATTCCAAGTACATCAATAGGTGAAATAAATAGAAACATAAAAATTAAATGAGATAAAAATTAATTATTATAGATAAAAATACACATGTATATACAGGTAATTTCAGAATTTAACATCGGTCTCATAAAGAGCATTCATCATCCAGTTGAACAGTTTTTAGTGCAATTTTGAAGGCAGAAATTGAAGTAGACACACGGGCATTATCCAGTATTATCCGGCAATAAGTTCCAAATTAATACTCTTCGCTTATCAGAGAAGGTTGAAATGTTAAGGAAAAACAGTGCGGCAAGCAGTCATACCTGGAAACTTCAAGAGAAGATATAAGAGAAGGGCATTCGATTGTGGTGTATTGTTTTACTGAATCACTGTTTTCACGTGTATACTCCTCAGTCGACCTGTGATGTCTTAACACTATGTAGTTTACAGTCGCTTCTTTCAATTTTGGCTCATTTTCCCAAACCGAAATTATTAGTCACGCTCAATAAAATATAATTTAAACTGATGCAAACATCCTACACTTCAGCAAGAATTTGCTCAAAACATTAGGAACAATAACTAAGGTCCTCAGCTGCTTGCAGATACCGCTGACTAGTATGCGTGTTGATCGCTTTGTAAGTTGTGAGTACATCATCCCAAGGTTCCAGACCTCTTCAATTCTTCCCTCTTCCCTACCCACCCCCCAGACTGGTCCCTAAATTCCCCTTGAAGAAACTCTTTTAAAGCCAGGGCTGAAGAGGGCTGTAATTCAATGTTGCCTTTATGTAGTTAAAGGTTCATGGAATCGCGATAATCATTCTTTTGCGTTGTGTTTTATTGTTTTTTGTTTTCGTTTTGTTTTATTTTTTTGGAGCTGGGGGAGGGGTTGTGGGGCGAATACGTTAACTTGAAATTGAATGAATAGAGGGTTGACAAGGTCAATGTGTCAACAATTTTCTTAACGCTTGTTGCTACTGTGAAAACAAAACACCTCTTATTTCATGCTTTAATATATTATCGTCACGGAATTAGTGCAAACGATGTTTATTAGACATCACACGACCTTTAAATTACCTTCATGAGCAAAGTGTTTATAAATGGGATTAACAATTTGCTGCAAGTGGAGTGGACACGTTTCTTAGTAAAGTGATCCTCAATCAGCATTTTTCTCTGAGGCTGGTAGTAGCTTCTCGTAATAACCGTGGTTGATATCTTGTATTGCACGATTGATAGTCAGGCTTGTGCCTTGTCAAACCTCTGCCATTGGGCCAACACTCTATAGCTATAGATTAGTTGAGTACCAAGACATGCTTATGGGGGAAAGGGACCAATTGACTTTGCGAAAACCTGGTTGTTTGGCGTTTCGCTTGAAGAAGGGCATCAGCCGCCTTCAAGCTGACAATAACGGGACACCGAACTTCAAAGCTTGACTGAAATCAGAAACCGCATCAAGAAGGAACGCAGTATGGAACCAATGAACCTCAAAGACCATTTTAACATCTCAACCCATACAGGAGTAAACTTGACTGTTGGACATCTTAAACCAGTAGTCAATACTATATCAAAGCATACCTGTTTGTTTAATGAACTTGTTTTCATTATAGTAACATGTTTTGTCACTTAAAGTACTTTTCCATCTTGTGCGCATAACTGTAGATCCTTTTATGGTGCAAAAACTAAGCTACACCTCTAATTGACAATGACATCTGACGATGACGAAACCTCGTATATTATTTTGATAATTTTTGTGTTGCAAATATTCCCTCAAGCCTTACTTATAAGATACAATAACCTAAAAACACTTTCAATTATATCTATGCTTGAAAGGAAAGCCAAAAACAATTTCAACAAACGAAGACTAAGGCAATCTATAAATTAAGGCATCTCTGCATTTAGAAATGATCTTTTGATTTCTTTTCCGAATCACGCACCAAAGGATTTATCATAAGTAACAAGAGGTCAATTAAGTCATTTTCCTCTTTCAAATAATCAGCCTCCATGTATTCTGTCCGTCGAGTTAGAGCGATAAGTCTATTTTCAACTTTTAGCATTCGTTCCTCTGTACCTTGAATAATACATTCAGAATTCAAACAGAATGGCTCTGCTTCAGAAAGGCACATGTTGGCGAATATTGTCTCATCGCAAAACAACTTAAACTCAGTCCGATTACTTCCCTGGTGGAAAATGTCCATTAAACGCTCCTCAATAAAACGTGCCATTTCAAGCTCTTTTGCATTTTCCTCTGCGTTTGTTTTTGCGTCACTATATGATTCGTTAAGGACGGAAACAAGCATATTCATAAGAAATATAGTTGAGGATGTGCAAAACAAAAATGCAAACGTCGGACCAATGAAGGGTTTGTCCCTTCGAAGAGCGTCCACTGGGACTGCTTCTCCCAACAAGAATTTGAATTGAGACATGACTGCATTGAGGTAACTGGAATATTCCAATACTGCGCCACCAAAAAACTGCATACCTGTTACAACAAATGCATTGAACACGATCTGAAAATAGACCACATACGAGAGTTGATAGCCTATAGATTGCCGAAAAGATGAAAACAAGTATATCACGTGTTGGTTAAAACGAATTAAATTCAGAAGCTTGACTGTCACCATAAAAACAGCCATGGCAATAGACGCATTTTCTAGGTTAAACCAATCCAAGGCTGTGTGGAAATGTACGATTTCATATGGATTGGCTTGAATAGATTTGATAGTGCTCAAAACGCTTTTAGCTCTGATCATGTAAAATGCTACAGAGGCTACAGAGAAAATAATCATAAAGAAATCCACCATGTTCCAAACAGACTTGAAGAAACCTAAGCGTTGTTGATAAAGGTGAACTAACATAACTATTAAATAAAACAGGACCATTGCCATGAACAGAAACTGGCCAATTAAGAAAAACATCAGAGCTCCTGACTCAGTGCTGTACAACTCAAGTGTTTCAATTCTCTGTGAAGTGTAGGCTGCACCAGTAGCTAAGGCCTCGTAAAAGTATGTGGCAACGCTAATCAAGTTTGTATTGACATTGAAAACAGCAAACTCTAGAATTACAGCTCGAGTTTGGCGATCAATCCATCCATTGGTAATAGTATCGTCGAGGACGCCTTGTGCAGTGCTTTCATCGTATCCCATGACTGCTGCATAACCACCCCCTTCATAACAGTTGTACGGCGCTATAATGAGATCGTTCCGAAGTTCTGCTGCTGATTGATACCGCCAAGGCTTAGGGCAAACTTGGGGAGCATTGGGCCACGAGGTATTGAGGGATAGAGGTATCCAACCTGGAAGGCTTAGTAAAGTCGTATCCTCATTTTCTGGAGAATAGTCGTAATAACAATCTGCTATCACTTTCGAGAGTGATCTGCAGGAATCTTTGAATGGAAAAAAAATGGCATAAATTACTTTGAGATTTGCCCCTCTTGATAAATGATGATAAAGTGAAACAGAGAAAGAGAAAATTGCTGACAAAAGAAAAGAAAGCTTGCCAGTGAAGTTTCATGATATCGGGTAAAAGGTTTTGGTTCTAAAATTGCTGTTGAGTTAAGTCCTAAGTGGCGAGTTGAAATGTATCAGTAAACTAGTATATGTTCTTTAAAGAAGTATAATTTAGGATGTAAGTTACGAGCCTTTTGATATCCAGATCACTAGACATGTACTTACAGTTATTGAAATTCATTAAGTCACTATGACATTTTCCTCTTTCAACCAGCACTTTTTAATTGCATATAAGGGATTTTTCTACCAATTTAGAAGCTCCATTGTCAATCTTAAGTTTATTTATGAAAATGATACATTCTGATCTAAGTTTACTTTTTCTAATTCTGAGCTGTCGCAGCCAGGGCATTCCCACTAATATCGACATCTTGTTCGAGATGTACACGTCGTTTTTCTCTTCAAGTCCGTTGTACCACGCCTGGTTATAAATGTTTAATATAAATTCGTTCTTTAACCATGCTTCCAATCGGTTCGCATCTTTTACCTAGAATAAAGAACTAGAACTTATAAAATAAACACATTAAGATCCAAGAACCCTTATGAAGAAGACAGAGGGTGCGATTCGCATGATCGTTAAACAAACGACAAGGAACGACAAAGCAATAAATCAAAAGACAGGAACAAAGAGAAAGGGAGAAGGAGACTCGCCGCCAATTCTAAATGCAAGTACCAAACAATGAATAAAAAAGGAAAAAATAAAGGATTCAAACGCCCATGGCACTCAATAGCAAACTTAACTGTGAAATCCGTGGTAACATCGCTACTACCTTTTTTGTAAAGGTAGAAGTCATTATTTACATCCACTAGAAACCTGCTCCAGTACAAATATATTTGTCGTACATTAGCCTGCTTACTTGTCATCGTTAGGTGTAGTATTGCGACTGACGTTAATACCTATTTCTCTTTTAAACATCTACGAGTCTGTTATCTTTCATTGATATAAGAATCGATCGCCAGGCAAAATAGCTTTTGAATACTGCCAAATATTTTACAACTGCAGACAAAAAGTATTTTTATTCACAGGAACCATATACTTACCAGATTAAACTCCGTGAATCGATTTCTCGTCTCGTTGGTCATCAGAAAACGATTTCCATTCTTGTTTCCATAAGATACGATGGCCAGAAGAAATACAAATATTAAATGCAGAATAATGTCTCTTTTCAGGCTTGTTAACTGAGCTTCTTTTTTTGATCTCTCTCTCATCTTTTCCCGCTGATATTTCTTAAAGCGCTGTTTGGGATCATCGCCCGAAAAATCTATCTCAATTGCTTGTAGATCGATAGCAGTCTCTTTTTCTTCTTCTTCTTCGCATTTGCCTTTGTTCTTTCTTGTCAGGAGAAAGGAAATAACGATAACTACTATCATAACCTTCGTAGGCTGCACAACAAAAATATCTTGTCCATTGGAAATTAGAATAGAAGCAAGCCACTGCTCAGAGGTTTCGTTTCCCCACATCAAACTGTAAAATAGCGTAAACGTTGCTGCTGCCATAGTCGTACAGAAGCAAAAAAACCAGCCTACATAGACAAAGAAATGAGGAAGCAGGTAACCAGTGTCCGTTATTTCATCCAAAAGTCGTTGGGCCTTGTCTGTAACTTGGTATTTTTCACTCCTTTTCTTCCTCGGTTTGCTAGACTTAAATAAGAAGGCAATGATTATGTTTATTGGTGCAATGATAATGCCACTTTGTGCTCCGATGACTATCTGTCTCCAAGAAAACTTAAAAGGCCCAACTTGTATCGCACCATCTGATTCACCACCAATGTTATAAAACATGGCATTTGCTATCATTGCACTAAACAGAAATGAAAGGCAGCATGAAGCTCTTTGCACACGTGTGAAGGTACTGCTACATGCTTTTCCAAACACTGACATCCACAAGTGACTGTCGGCAATTTTTCTGGCAAAGCACGAACGAACCTGAGCTGAGAAGGTAGAGCGAGATTTGCTGTCCACAGTAACCCCTATTTGGCCGTCGTCTTTTTCCAACGCAAGCCATCTATTTATGGGGAAAACCCACCTTTCTTCGGTCTGGCGGTCTTGGATAACTACGGTTTCTACGAACCAAGACGGATTATCACCCGAATTATCGTGAGCCAAAGTAATTTCTCTTAAAGGGCCAATGGGTTCTTTCAACACGAGAACAAAGCCGTTAACACTCCCGCGTCCGAAAAGCTCGCTCCACTCCCCTTTCTCCCTCAATGGAATTTGACTCTGCTCGTAATTTTCGCCCTTGATACTGATGGTTATGTTAGCTGTTGTTGCTGAATGTTTCCAAACGCCAGTGCTTACAACCATATCGTAATAATAGGCTCCTTCCTTCACAAGCGGTATCAATTTAGGTGGGCAAATCTAAAAAACAACAACAACAACAAAACAAAAAACATTCAAAAATCAAAATAACTCGAAATACATGACTTCAGGTTGAAATGTGATTACCTTATCTACATCTCTCTTGTCGGCCCTCCTTGCAAAGATTAAGACAACGAGGTACAGGAGGAAAATACAGGCAATTATCACTAGTACTGAAATATTGTCACTTTCAGCAAGGTTTAAAAACTCGGTAAAAACTTGTCGAAGTCAATTGGGTTTGGTGCTTGGATAAAATTTCCACCAAATGATGTTAAATGATTGCAGAGACATTTAAGATGGGTGGTGTTCGAGTCTTGGCTAACCTTTAAAAAAAAAAAATAATAAAAAAAATTAATTAAGCGAAAGAAATGAACATGATATTGTCCTCTAGTATATACCGAACAAAGGATTGGTGGTATTCGTGTGCGTTTATTAGATATTTCAAAGGTGAATAGCAAGTACTATCCATGCCCGAGCAGCCGATGATACAAAAGCAGAGTCAAGAGTTAAATTTCGTACCAGTATTTGGTGTAATGAAAGAATAAAAGTACCATTTTGTATCTGTGTGATACACATTAAAAAAATTATTCACCTCGACTTTTGCAAATTGTTCTTTTCAAATTCAACTCAAGCACGATCTTTATTAAATTAAAAAATATTTAATCCCGAGCTGAATTGGTAAATTGCTTTAGTAATGAACCTTATGACCCGTTGGACACAAAAGAGAAGACATGAAAAAGAAAGAAAGGTGATTAATGGCTGCAACGATAAATTTATGGCCAATTCGCATCCAGATGTTGAATCCGAAATGTCTATACCGACAACTCCTTCCCATAAATACGTTAGGAATGACTAATCGGTTGCTATCGTCATGGAAGGGAGGCAACAATGTCAATTGCATTAGAGATTTCACTCGGTAAAACTTAGTAGCAGAAAAATTACTAAATGATTAATTTTTACCCGGCAACCTTCCGCGGTCCACTTCTCTGTGTTCTCTGACCAAAACAAACAAATCGATTGGGTGATAGTCAAAGTGTAGTTAACGTCTGTATTTGGATTATATTTCGGAAACGCAGTGCTAAGAAATCCTTTTGGTGGTGGATCTTTAACGCCCACACACGACCGTCTTTCACGACGATTTCCAAAACAGGATCTCCTTTTCCTGGAATGTTGACTTTCATTCTTAGGGCTTTTAAAAAATAAGCCCGCGTAGAGGAAACCTGGCTTAGAAGGTGTCACTGTAACCGAACTATCTCTGATAGAGCAAGTTGCATTAACGTCTGTTTGGTTGTTACATGTAGATGTAAACCCTATCGTAAAATTGTGGTCAAAGTCATTTATCGTTGGTCTTTTTCCAAATTTTATGAACAGACTGATTTGTAATCCTGCTTTGGCTATACCCAACTTAAGAGATATAGGAACATTGGCTAGTTCTGCGTAATAACTTCGAACTGAGATTTGATTTGGCTTAAGAAAGTTATGCTGCGTCCCTTTGGTGGAGTTTTGAGGCGGACTTGAAATGGGAATCAAAATCTCAATGTCATTGTCAAGATTTGAAACATTTATCTTTTCCGCCCTGTTGCTTTTAAGCTCAAGACTCGTGACACGTGATTTGATTTTCTTGCTGCTATTGCCCCAAGTGAAAGGGTTAAAATCAACAGCTTGCATCTGAAAGAGAACACAATAAGGAATTAATAATTTTACCGGTGATTCCAGGAGTTTTTCTCGCGTACAAAACATTTGTATTAACTGATTTTATCATCTTATCATAATAATTAAGATGTGGAGAAAAGAAAGTGTAATTATAAACTAAGCCAGCGATAACTTGAATCACTTCTAGGTGAGTTAAGATAAGGATGGCATCATACCTTTACATTTATCTCTCCACCACCTATATTTCCAAGGCTGCTCGGGAGCTTGAATTTACTTGGTCCATCTCCCATGCTTAGTCCTTTTGCATCATTGGCTGTGACCTTTTTTAGAGATATTGTCAAGTTGGGAGTTTTTAGGAACAGCTCTTCTGATGGAACCAAGCGGCCGAAAAATGTATCACTCATGTTACTCAGTTTTTCGGAGGCCTTTTTCACTAACTGAAAGGAAAGTCAGTGAATGTTGTTCAGTCACCTGATAACGTAGCCATAATCCGATGACTATTCTGACTTATTAGATCTGAAAAAATCTTATTTCACAATTCTTCTTTGCCGCCTTCGTTGGTCTCGCCGTTTTGTTCTCTTAATGTGAATTCTATTGCTTAGAATTGACCTATCCTGAATTAATGGCGAAAACGAAACTCCAACCAGGGAACGTATGGAGAAAGGACTGATCTCTGCGATAGTCGTTATTGTAACTGAACGTGTGATCTTTACCTCTGGAGCGGGTAGGGTTACTGCCAAGTCTATGTCGTCCTGACTCGATCCTGCAGCTAACTTGAG